GGAAATATTTTCACCAGCATCTTCTCACTTTAGTGAAATACAGTACAAACATTTCTGAACCATAATTTTTGTTTTATTTTATCATTCTTTCCCAGTTTCCCAAAATGCCACTGCTGAAATCACCCTTCTTCTCTGATGCTGTCACCTAGTGAAACATGATACCCACAAACTCATTCCTCAGATACCTTTCCTCCTCCATATCAATCATCGAATCACAGAATCATTAAGGTTAGAAAAGACTTCTAAGATCAAGTCCAATCATCAACCTAATACCCTTATGCCCACTAAACCATGTCCTGAAATGCCTTTCATGCCAATGAAGTACTATAATACCTTTTTGTATACTTACAAAATAATGATTCCTAATACTTGTTCAAATGTGAAATCCAGAGGTCTGCTATAATAGCATCTTGTAAAACCTACTGTTAGGTAGCTAAAGATTTTGCACATCTAGAGGCTTTTTTTTAGTGACGAAGATCATGGGATCCATCTATATTATGAGGCAATGACATGTTTATGTTGACAGTGAGCTACTGACCTTTTCTCCAGCTGGACCAGCAGCACCTGGGTCCCCAGATGGACCTGCTCGACCTTTTGGACCTTCTGGACCATCTTCTCCCCGTGGACCTGGTTGACCAATTTCTCCCTAAAATATACCACCTTTTAAATATGGAACAATTGCCTTTGTGCACATATTAAAGTAAGCTTTCAGTAAATGTAGAGATTAAGATCGTAGAATCACAGAATGGTTTGGGTTGGTAAGGACCTTTAAAGGTCATGTAGTCCACCCCGCTGCAATATGTAGAGACATCTTCAACATGATCAGGTTGGTCAAAGCCCCCTCCAGTTTCCTATTAGGAAAACCCCATCTTATGTTCATTAAATACATGCAAACACATAAAAATGAGGCACTAAATATTACTTTCACAAGTGTAAGAGCCCAGTTGCTTTGCCTCAAGATAGCCGCATTTGGAAACTGTGTTTTCTTATTTTTCCTTCCCTAAATTTTTGTGAAGGCACTCTGATAGTCCACAGAAAGAAAAACGTCTGTATCTAAGTACTTAGGTGGATACCATCTTCAGAGTTATTTATGTATACAGACAACAGATACAGGCAGAAGCCTTTTGAAAGAAGTTGTTTTAGAACCTCCACAACACTTCCTATGAAAGAAAGTAAGTGCCCATTGGGCTATATAAACAACATTTTTGGCAGAGATTTGCAAGATGCTAGGCTGGAATGGAAACTTCTTTATCCTGGATAGATTAATTTTCCTCAGACAAACACTGGAGATCTTGGAATATGAGAAAGGAGAGTCCATAGGAAAAGGCTTATTGGAAAGGATATCCAAGACTGACATGCTCTTCCTTTTTATAACTGTGTCATTGTTGATTCACAAAAACCAAATCTCTGGCTCAAATCTGTGGGTGCACAGGGAATAAGAACCATTTAAGCTACTAGCTTTTATTTTATTTTGGTTTCAGTTTATTTGTTCACTTCAGTGGTCCTTTCAAAATAATAAAACTTTTTAAGAGCATATGGCTATGAATAAATGCTTACCCGATCACCTTTAAGGCCCATATCACCTTTAAATCCTGGAAAACCATCTTCACCCTATACAAGGCAGAAATGCATTAATGACTTTCAGTAAAAGAGAAGATTTTTTTCCTGCAGATAGAATAAGAAAATACATTCACTACAGATTAAAGTAATTTGCATAGATAAAATGAGAACATCAGACATGAGAAAGTCTAATATGGCTATTGCTATTTTAGAGAAAGTGTATCAGCGCACTATATAAAATGACTTTTTAGTTTGAAAGTTCCTAATAACAGCTGTTTAAAGCTGCTTAAAATCTCTTTAAAGATAGAGACAACATAATTATTCTGTTTTATTATTAAATTACCTTGCAAAGTCTTTTCTGAACAACTAATCTTTTTTTTTAAATTAACACTCTTTTTAATAAGGTCATTCATTCAATTAACTAAAAAAATAGTGGCAAATTTTTCAATGTTATTCTTTTTGATAGGAGAACCTCCCTTTTAATTATTTTTTCTTTTAAACTAGTGTCTTAATAGTATCGTGAAAGGAATAAAAAAATTGGCTGGTTGGGACATCTTAATAAAAAAAAAAAGGGACACAAATTCAGGTTCATAACCTTAAAGAAGAAGTATTCATCTCTGTATAGTAGTTCAATGTCCCGCAATACTCAGCCCTGCCTACTCTCATTGGCTGATATGATTGAAAGTAGGAAAAAACAATGGACATTAAGACTGAATTCATACACAATGGCAAAACAGGTGTACATTCTTGTTACTCTGAGGGAGAATTACTCTGGCAGAGAATTTACTGCAAGCATTTTAATACATCTCCATGCTGAAATACAAGCAAACACCACTCAGACAAGTTTCTCTTAGGCCTGTATGAGTTAGTTCAGATACAAACAGAAATCTCCAGCATCGTTCACTGAAGTTCTTCATGACTTGTTCTAGCATAACCGATCATTTTTGGTTCCCTCTTTCTTAGACTAACTCATCATACAACTACAGTTCCAATATCCAGACAACAAAGATATTTTTTTAATATACTGAAGTAATATTGCTGACTTAGAATCTGAGCAATATTTTCACTGTCAATAAAGCCAGGGAAGAGTGACACTGCGCTCCATGTTACTGAAAATAAAAAAAACCAAACCCAAGAAAGGCTTTCTATTTGATCCTCACGTTGAAAAAGAATTTTGCAATTTAAAGAAAGGTGAAAAAGTAGAGTGCAGAATACATGAAAAAAGCTTTAGTTGTAGAAGTTGCTCAGTTATGGCCATGGACAGTAATAATTATATGAGACCATTGCAACATATCAGCAAGGACTGACCACGTGCCAACTACTGACCAAACGGCTGCCAAATGAACTGAAACTCTTCTTCAGCTTTCATGGTGAGGTTCCAGCTACTGAGATCTACAAGAGGTTGATTTTACTCCATGTAGGAGGAGAGAGCTGAATGCTCTATTTCCTCTTCTGCTGTTAACAAAAGATAAAATAGCTAAAGACTGCTGGTCACGTTTGCTGATCAGTACAGAGATGGATGTCCTCTGATATCCCTGGGACCACTCCAGATCTACAGAGGCTTTCCTGAATGGTCAGTTTATTTGTTTCTGTTTCTTACAGTGCTTTCCTCCATGTAATGGCATCTGAATGATTTCAGCAAAAAAGGCCTGTGTAATGGATCTTTAAAGCACTGTTGGGACAAACTACGAAATATCTTTGTCTGACCTTTTGAGGTATTCAGTAGAGGTCAGTGTCTTACTGCAAATATGAGATCAACTTTTAGGAACACAGAAATATTGTGGAGATTGTGCTTATCAGTATTTATTCACACACACACACACACATATATATATACACACACATATATTAAGTTTATTTAAATGTGAGTCCTGTATTTTGTCCTAGCTGCATATTAATCACTTAATAAGGCACAAGAAAATCTTTTGACTGCCCAGTCTGCACAAGTATTAAACACACTTGTTTTTTAGCTTAGATTTAATGAGCAACTCTAAAATGAGCATGGAGACTAGACAAACTGTGCTTTAGGAAAGCCTGAAAATGTACAGCAGCTCTTGGCATCTGAGCCTGAAAGACAGACCTCTAGTGCTGAAATCAAGGCTTTTTGGCAAGACTGTCTTCAGGTTTAGAAATAGCTATAAATATATACAAAGTAGCCACCAGAGCCACAAGGCTGAATTTGCCTGTGTGGTCAGGAGGTATGACTAATGCTGTTTGTTATCTGTCTCTCATTCTGCGTGCTGAGGAAAGTGGCAATTTAAACCAATACTGTCTGTAGTTTCAGCCACTGCAGACCATCAGAAGTCAGTACTGATCACAGTAATTGGTGTTTGCTCTAGTATGAGCTCTACATACAGAATTAACGATACCAGGGGGATGTAAAAGCTTTCTTCATATTCATATACATGCATCTGACTGGGGCTGTCCAACACTTTGGCAAAGCCAAAGATATGGGATAAAAATACCTGGAACCTAGAAAGCCATTGAAAGATGTACATAAAAAATACAAAATCCAGCCTACAGCCCTAACAAAACAGATAAAATAACACTAATGTCACCACAAATCTTTCTGATGCACAAGCTTCTCAGTATGTGATACAGTACCTATGAACAAGAGACGGGATATGTCTAACCCTCTACTTAAGAGCGTCTTAAAGAGAAGTTACTTAAACTAGTGTGAAAAGGATCCAAAACCATTATAATAACTGAAGGTTTTATATTCAGTTTGCAGCAGTGTAAATAACCATGCAGGTCACTGATTTGTGAATTGGGCTTGATATGGCCTTAGGATAAAGCAAAAATAAACCCACTGCTGCAAGAGAAAGCACACTGCAGTGAAGGAGACAGGAGATGTTGAAATGAAATAAGGAACACAATAAAAGGGAAAGGAATTAAAATGCAGTCAGATTTACCTTTTCACCTTTGGATCCCTTGAGACCACGGACACCATCAGCTCCCTAAAGAAAGAATATAAAGAATTATCGACATGTATATATTAAAAAAATGGGTGGGGGGAGGAATCCAGTAATTAAATCTTACCTTTACACCACGAGGACCTGGATAGCCAATTGGACCCTGAGGACCTGGAGGCCCCTAAAATATATCAGAGTAAAGAATCGTTGTTTGTACAGTACTTGGTTAGCAAGCAGTTCTCTTCTGAGTCTAATCCTTGTTCTTCTGCTATAATGCAGCAGTCTTGAGTGAGACATCAAAATAACACTGGGCAGCCTGCCACTAAGAAAAGTCACGGCATGACAAAGCATCCTTCAATGTCACTATGAAACTATTAATAGAATTATGAACTTGGTTCTACTTGTATATTTAGGAAACATCTATTCCCAGTATAAATTACCTGAAACAACAGTAGGTAGAAAATGTAACAAACAAACAAAGTAAACAAATAGTTGCCAATTAGAGACCAGTGGTGTCTTACTGGAGAAAATTTATATGTTAAATATGATGATGACACAAATCAAAAGCAGAGATCAAAATAATTGTAATAATAAAAATCATGGCCTGTAAAGGAAAGAGATTCCAAACCTGAAAGTTAAAAGGCTCATGGTGCTATCAATACTGACTGGTGCCTGGATGTGTTATTTATGGTTTGCTGAGCATTTTAAAGATGCTTAAATTTGATACCATGCAATTCAATGGCTGTGTCTAAAGAAACTGAGTTTTGCAAACAGTGGAAGCAAGGAAACATAGATATCTGTGTCTGAAGCTGAGCTGCTTTTCTCTGATGTCTGCGAAGGACAGATAAAATCTTT